GGTCTGCAGTGCTCACTTCTCCCAAGATGACTACTGCCAGCCGAAGAAGAGAAGACATCCAATCCCGAAACACCTCTTCCTCAAGAAAACGGCTGTCCCATGAGTAGAGAGAGCTACAGACACAGTGGAGCAAAGCTCGTGACATCACACGGCCCAGAGGTAAGGGAAAGGCTAAGTTAGCATGCTATTTACAGAGATAGCACTGGCGATCTGAACCGGTCAGTGGCGAAAAAACACACACTTCACACACACATACTCATTTACATTACCAAGCGGGGACAACTTCCGCCTTTCTGCTCCAACACTGACTGACAACTGACTCCACTCATTCACACTCACCACTGCCCCAGGGCTGCTACCATATGCTATTTACAGAGATAGCACTGGCGATCTGAACCGGTCAGTGGTGGAAAAAAAAAACACTTTTATACGGGACGCATTTGCCCCCATTACCGTTTTAGCTCGTTTCGCCGCTCAATACTGAACCAATTTTAGAACGAGTGGTACCCATGAATCATACGCACACATACACATGGGGAAATAGAGCCCAGGTTGAAAAATACCAAAGTTGTCCTTTAAGAAGTTGGAATCAGCAAATATTTGACATTTGTGTTTGACAAACTGGAGTGATGAAAAAATGATCAAATAGTTGGCTTTGAATTTTCTTTTATTTGACTAATCGATTGATCGATTAATTGTTGCAGCTATAGTCACTGTAAAGTCTTGTTCAAGTTAAAGTATCAAATACTTTCTGGTTCCAGCTCCTCCAGTGTGAGGATTTGGTGCTTTTCTTTGTCTTTATGATAACTTAAGTATTTTGGTGTTTTTGTCAGACAAAACAAGACATTTGAAGATGTCACATTCGGCTCTGGCAATCTGAAATGAGCATTTATTTTTTTGCTGTTTTCTGTTTTCTTTAATGGATAAAACATCAGTCAAGAAAACAGTTGACAGATTAAATGATAATGAAAATAATGATTGTTGTACCTATAGAAACATAGGCAACTATTTAAAGTTGTTTGTTTTTTTTTTTAAAAAAAAATGGAATGGTTTCAGCTTTTGAAATGTCAAGATTTGCTGCTTTTTTGTTTTTTATGATCAAAAACTCTGATAGATTTCAGTGTTACGCTGTTGGTCCAACAAAAGATCCTCTGGGAAACTATGATGGGCTTTTTTCACTTTTTTTAATATTCTAACAATCAATCAATCAATCAATCAAATAACTGAAGAAATAATCAGCCAATTAAGAGATAACAAGATTAATCAGTTGCAGTCCCAGACACAACAAAGATACCCAGACATATGCGTATGTAAAATCAATGGTTTATATGTAAATAGGAGAATTCCTGCATTTAAAATATGAAATTTATGAAAAGCAATCATCAGTTTGAGTCTGTTCTCCAAATGTTTTCCTCTGCACAGACACAGGAGTGGAGACACACTGCCACACGAGTACGAGCATAAATATTTCAGCGTTGGGATAAATATTTCACTCTTTCAATGAGATGTGAGAGAAAGATACGTGGAGGGAAAGAGGATTGAATTACATACGAGCCCCACATCAATAATGAGTGTAGAGATGAGAGGAGAACAAGGGCCGGGTCTGCTTCATGTAAGAGACGGAGGTAGAAAAGGTGCAGTCACCGACAAAAAGGAGTACACAAAGGTCATGACCTGAGAATCTCTGACCTGTGGACCTCCTGCTTGATATTTTTGTGAGTCCATTTCATGTTTGGAGCCTCCCTATGGACTTACCTTTTATGGTGAGGCACCCCAGCTATTCATGGCTCTAATCATCCAGCTCGTCTCCCTCTCTTTCTTGGCAATGACACTCACAGGAGTGCTTACACAACACTGACAGGGACTGGGCGGGTTGTGTTTAACATGTCATAAATAAATCTAAATCCAATACACATATTTACATGCACACGCATGGTTTATAACAACAGCAATGAGCTGAGGTGCACTGGTAGGCACATAAAACAGACACTGACCATGATGAGTGGAAATACTACAGAGTGTCAGTGAAGTAAACACTAGCTGGTGCGTTCACTGGCTCCCAATTAAGACACATTTTCCAGTAAGTGATAGACACTGACTTCATCAGCTGAAATAATATTTAATAAGGGAAGACACTCAGAAAACAACCCTAATGTAAAACAGCCGTACACTCTGCACACTCTCATACACACACTTGAGTCCTGCTCTGGTTTGGTCATCTGCAGCTGATTGAGATGTCACAGGTGCTGTCAGTTCACAGTTTCTTAATGCCTCAATGCTCATTCAATTTCACAGTTAACAATATAGATTAGTAATTAGCAGCACAACTAGGGATGTCAGTTTCGGTTAATTTTGCTTTCAATGACCCAACACCCATTAACAGGTAAATAACAGGTTAATTTTGGAGGGGTAAAAAAAAACACAAAAGACATCAAACACAAGAGGGCTTCCCTTTTGGTCCGGCGCTGCATTGGCTCAGTGAGCTAATTAGCGCCACATTTCAAAGCACTATCTATTCAAAGTTAGTGAAATTTTAATGTTTTGTGATGTATATGTCTTGTTGTTTATTTTATATTTTGTTGGCTTTGCTGACAGACAGCCGGCTGCCCACGTCGCGAAAACACAGTGCCCACTGGCCACCCTCTGGCCTTAACTGCTCCTTAAATTGAGCAACTCACTTAAAGAGGCGACCTGAGGGGTAACCTGATGGTGGGCACAATGTTTCCACAGAAACATTGTTGGTTTGGGATGATGTTACAAAGAGTAATTGCTGAATGAGCAGCGCCCTTAGCTTGCTCCCACCTAACCTGACTGGTGCCACGGGTGCATTAGGAGAGCTGGATACAGCATTAAATTAGGAGTTGCTCAGTGGTGCATGAAGCCAAAATGGTTCAACTGCTGCACAAAGAAATACACAGTTGATCTGGCAGAACTTCTGCACTGTGCGGCCCGTAGAGCAAGTGCACTATAGACTTAAGACAGCCGAGCTCTGCCAAGTGCAACTGAGTGGCTAACTTCTGACAGCCAAATGGTGAACTTATGGTTTAACACGCTGCTAACTTCAATGAGGACAAAATGAATTAATCTTGCAGCTTTTCTAGACTTTCCAAATGTTACTGTCCTGATAATGAAACGACTCATTTCTCAGGGGTTGTGACGCCCCCAAAAAAGTATCTACTGATTTACAGACGTCTCTTTCGCCGTGCCAGTCTATAGGAAGAAGTCTTTTTGGGCTGTAGGCCATCATGTGACTGACCCCGGAGATTGCGGTAACCCTGTTTGGCCACTATGAAAATTGGCTTCAAAGCTAGTGGAGACCGGCAGGTGGGTTAAAATGTTAACGCAGCTAGCCGGCTGTAACCACAGATTGATAATAATAACTGCATACTGGACCCGAAGATGGTGCCTATTCAGTCCAATGGAATGGCTCTCCTGGTATATATGCCAGGGGTTTACTTTGCCGTATGTGGCCCACTGAATATGTGTTTCTCTTCTGCCCACAAGCTTCTGCTCAGCTCATAAACTTTACATAGTGATGACAGATCACAGATATTTAAATTGCTTTTCTCGGCCTGAGGAAAGTTTAATAAATATAAAACCTCCATGGTTAAAAAATTCATAATAAAAATAAGTCATAATTTACTTGTTCACAGTTCGAGGTGTCCTGCCAGCAGTTTTACTCTTTCATAATGGTGTTCTGTTGAGAAAATATTTTTAGGCTGTAGGGGAATTTTTTGTTGCAATACTGCGAGTGGCCACTGGGAAAAAGTGAAAGCCAGGCTGAGCTGCTTTCCTGGAGGCCTGCTCCCACCAGACCCAGGTGGTGTGCAGTGCAGTAAACTGAACAGTAGCAAAATTAACCTACACACTGACATGCCTTACAGGTCAAAAATATTCTCAGCAGTAAATCAATTAACAGTTTCACCGCTGACATCCCTAAGCACAGCTAATTTGTGTCAGCTTCTTCTTTGTTATCTACCTCCACCTGCCTGCAGATCATCTGAGTCTGGATGTATGAGGGGTTATTCATGCCCCTTCATCTTGTCTCCCTGGGTCCTCCAGCTCCTCGTACTCATAGTCCATCTGAGCCCTCTCGTACTCCAGCTCATCGCCCTCATACTCAAACCCCTCTCCCTCACATATCAGCTCCTCTGTCTCATACTCAACAAGCTCCTCGTCATATTCAAGCTCAGCTCCGTCGTACTCGGTGATGGGCAGCTCCACACCCTCCTCCTCCTCCTTTGCCTCTTCCTCTTTAATGTCTCCTTCCTCTACAGTCACCGCCGCTTGTTTTGAGTTGGAGTTGCTGTTCTTTAGGATACCGTGAATAACGGGCTCCTCTCCTGCCAGAGCCAGCTCCTCCGCCTCTTGCTCTGCGGCCTTTCGTCGTCTCTCCTTCCTGGCCTCACGAGCCTCCAAGAACTCCGCTGCGCCTTCCCCAACCACGAGCACCTCCTCGCCCACTTTAGGCGGGGCTTCCACTGGGTTGTGGTCGTAGGAGAAGAGGCGCAGGGCGTGGAGACGTTTCAGGCTGGGAAACTCTGAGATTTTGTTGCGATCCAGATCTAAAATCTCCAAACCCTCCATGCGTAGCAGGACTCTGGGGAAGGTTTCAAAGCGGTTCCCGTAGAGCCATAATCCCCTCAAAGCCTCCATACGCCAGAGGTCAGGGGGCAGCGTCTTCAGCCGGTTGTCCCCAATCTGCAGGGACTTGAGGTGAGGCAGGTCGTAGAGCTCCCGTGGAAACCTTTGAAAGTAGTTGCTCTCCACCCACAGGCAGCGCAGACTCTGCAGGTTCTTCACCTCGGGCGGGAGGGTCATGAGCCGGTTGCTGCCCAGGTAGAGGCGGGTGAGGTTAGTGAGCTGGAAGACAGCCGGTGGAACGTCTTCCATCTTGTTGAAGTCAAGGGCGAGGATTCGCAGGCCCTGCAGCTGAGAGATGCTGTCAGGCAGCGTGCGCAGGCTGTTCCCACAAACGTACAGCTTCTCCAGATGCAACAGTCCGCTCACACGCAAAGGCAACCGCTTAAATTTACGGTAGCTCAAGTCCAGCACGGGATCTCCACTCTCGAACAACTCCTCCACCCCTAGTGGAAGCTCTTCCTCCACCTCCACCTCTTCTTCTTTCTTCTTCTCTGTCATTTCTCCCTCCTCACCATCCTTCGCCCCCTCCTCTTCCTCTTCCCCCTCTCCCTTCCTGGAGGAGTTACCCATGCTGTGGCCTGCGGCCCCTGACTCCTATATGAGTCAGGACAGAGTCATTTGATGAGGCAGTGTCTGTGACAAGTTAACCCTCCGCCCGGGAGCTGCTGTTATCTTGTTTATGAAGCCCCCGGCTGCAAACGGCATCACAGTCCGGGCCAATTAACACTCTTGCAGCCATGCCACAGCACTTTGTCAGGTGTCTCTTCGTCCCTTCATCTATAAAATATCTAATAAATATCTAGCAAACTGTGGCGTAATAGTAATAGTAGTAGTAGTAGTAGTAATAGTAATAGTAATAGTAGTAGTAATAGTAATAGTAATAGTAGTAGTAATAGTAGTAATAATAGTAATAGAGCTGATGCTGCTGGCTGGGCTCAACAAAGTACAGCAGGATTTTGAGCTGATATTAAATTCTTGCAGTTCTTACCCTTTCCTCCTCCTTTTTAACTTCCTCCAGGCTTTCGGGAGAAAGATAAGGTGCAGCTTTGAGGTCACCTGTCCACGTGACGCGGTCTCTCTTTCAGAGCGGGGAAAAAGTGCCACTTTAGGACTCTAAATAGTCAGATTAATGTCCCTCTTCCTGCCGGGTGTCGGTGGATAAGCCCACAGTGCCGTGCGCAGCTCTGTGACCTGGCCGGCGGCAAAGAAAAACAGTTAATGGAAGTCAGAGCACTAGTTAATGCAGCTGCTCCCCATTAGAGGCCGAGGTCTCCCGGAGTTTTAATCCGCGCCCGCGAAGGAAAATGCACATTTTGGGAAATTGCAGCGCTGAGTGAGTGACTGGGTCCGCTCCTGATGTTGGCCGCTGCTCTCCATCAGCGTGAGGGTTTACATTGAACTGCTGCCGCCCTCCTCCCTCCCTCTGTAACCGGAACAGGGGGCATTCACATCACATGGTCAGTGTGTGTGTGTGTGTGTGTGTGTGTGTGTGCGCGCGCGCGCGTGTGTTTGCGCGTGTACTAAAAGTAGTCTATCAACAACAGAAAAAAAAGTTCTCCCCTATAACTCGTTTTTTAACACATGAATCACTTTCAGGGTTACACATAAATATATTTTATCCGTTTTGTTTTATGTTGTAGGTAAACCTTTTTTTTTTACACCTGTCCATATTGTCATATTGTCTACATCTTATTTCCAGTTGTGGGAGAAGTACTCAAATATTTTAAATAAGTAAAAGTAAAAGTAACAATACCACAGCACAGAAATACTCTGTTACAGGTAAAAGTCCTGCATCTAGAATGTTCTTTAAGTGAAAGTATCGGCACCAAAATATACTTAAGTGTAAAAAAAAGTAAACGTACTCATGCAGAATGGCCCATTTCAGAATAATGTAAATCATATTAATGGTACATCTGTTTAAAGGTGGCACTATACACTACTGGGTAGCTTGTGAATTTCACCAAGCGGTCAATAAAGTCTTACATTTATTCATAACGCGATCAATGTTATCTTCAGTGGTGGCTGCAGCAGCACGTCGGGACCTTGGGTCATCTTCAAGGCTCTCCCTACCCCTCTTGAATTCAGCTGCCCATTCTTGCACAGTTGATAAAGCTGGAGCATCGTCCCTTAATGTAGCAACAGTGTCAGCATGAATGTCCTTGGGGGGGTATCTGCTTTTTCTGCAGATATTTGGTAACACCACAGAGCCAAATTTTGTCCGAACTGCTCTAGTGCTAATTTTCAAAGTCCTAAATTAGCTGTCAAATGTGGGTTTATCTAGAAGGAAACAAAGCAGTTAGTAATAGGAGAGATTGAATTTAAAGCACGCCAAGTTTCATTGCTCTGGTCTTACTCCATCTTAGTCAGCCGATGAACTTTTCAGCCCACCCTTGTACATCAACTTAAGTGCTGCCTCAGAGTACAATTCTGGGGTACTCCATGTTATGCCTCGTACTTCTACTTCACTACCGTTCAAAAGAAAATATTGAACTTCTAAATCTACTACATTTATTTAATAGTTATTAGTTACTTTGCAGATTTAAATATAGGCTACAGAGCATACTTTTCTAAAATATGATGCACTATTACAGATCATACACTGTAACTGTGAGTCAATTCAATGTCTGTATCTGAAAATCATAAAAAAGATCAAGAAAGTAATTCACTGACAATTAATACTTTTATTTTGAAACTTCAAGTATATTTTGCTGGTGATACTTGCTTATACTGAAGTAACATTTTGAATGCAGGATTTCTGCTTGTAATATAGTATTTTTCTGTTGTTGTACTATTACTTGTAGTAAAGTTAAGGATCTGTATACTTGTTCCTCTGTTAATACATAATGACACAAAATGCATTGTAGTAAAAGACCAGTACGCATCGCATAGTCTCCTTGACCTCCAAAGAAGGTAGCTTTAGTGCTGGTTTGTATCAAACACCACAAACATTAGCTGCAGCAGGTTTTACAGACCAATTAAAAAGCTGTGATAACAGACTTCATGTGACTCTCTGCTTTGACGCAGAACAGACACAAAAATAACAATAATAACCTGTAAACTGCTGCCAGCCCTCACAGTGTTTACTGATGCATTAACTATAGGATAAGCTGTATATTTTAACATCTTTTTATATTCTTAGTGTAGTATTTTATACTCAGATTCTGTAAGTTTATTGGTATCAATTTGTGGAGTAAAAGTCTCACTGCATGTCAATAACCAAGTGAAAGTTTTACCATCCACTACAATGCAGTTGTGTGACTGAATGTGACAGGACTAAAATATATTCATACACTGTAGCTCAGAATAGCTGCAAAATTTGGATGAGCCCAGAGCAAGTTTTAAATAAAAGAGCAACAGCACTTCCAGCACATCCTAACTTTATCCAGGGGAGGAATATTCACATCATCGTCGAGTTCAAACTGTGTAAAAATACTCCATTAAAACTGTATACTGAGAGTGTCGCACAAGGGGTTCACTGTAAATAAGTGCATTTACTCAAGTACAATTCTGAGGTACTTGTAATATACTTGGGGATTTCCATTTTACACTTCAATAGTTCAGAAGGACATATTGTACTTTTTACTCCACTGCATTAATTTGGCAGTTTTACAAACAAGTTATTTTGCAGATTAAGATTTTACAGACACAGTATATGATGTTTTATTATTGACCTTGACCACCTCAACCAGCTACAACAGAGTTGCTTACAAACTAGGCATAAGTTATATTCATCCAAAAATGCAGTAATACACATATGTAAATACTGCAACAATAATATAACACTGAGAGCAGCCATTCTGCTGACTAACCGTGACTTAAGTAAAACTACTTCTGCAGAAGTTCAAGTACTGCAGTTCTACACCTGAATGCAGGACTATTTACTGCAATACAGTGTTTTTATCATTTGATTGTTGCTAATTTTTACTTCTGAATACTACCACCAACACTGTATAGCACTGGCAGCAACATGTCTGATCAAAGTATTCATTGAGAATAAGCATCTCCTCTAAAATCATGAATGCATTCATGTGTTGTTAGTATTATTTCTCCAGGTGGTGCGTAACTGAAACTAGTTTATGTACTGCTGTAGCAATGCATCATATATCCTGAGGTCCTCACATACTTTGAATGTAAAATCTTAATCTTAAAAAAGGTAACTCTAAACTTTCAGCCATGAGATAGATATAATGCAGTAAAAAGTACATGTCTGTGTGAAATGCAGGAGAGGGAAAGTCTCTCAAATGTAAATACTCAAGAAAAGCTCCAAAACCTCATAAATGCAGTAAATATACTTATTTACTTTATTGAATCCCTGACAATAGCAGACATGTTTTGTGATTGACAGCCTGTTTTGTCGGTTGTGATACTGAAGAAAAGCCTAGAAAAGCTGCTGGGGTCAGATGTGCAGCTCTTCTGTCAGCCTGATGAGCTGTGGCAGAAGAAGCGGACAAACAGGGAGACAGGCCGCACGCTGCTTGAGGATAATCCTGTCTGATATGCCGAGGACCAAAAGAGCTGATTTGCAAATTTCTGCATCGCATTCAAACGACCCTGAAATGACACAATGGACTGTAAGCAGCAGACAGACAGACAGAGACCCAGGGCGGTGAATGGATGTGACTGCTGAGGTGAATGTGTTGAATGCAGATGAGGCAGTTGCATGACCCAGCCAGCATGGGAAACATATGGAAGGACAACAGTAAAAAACTGGAACAAATGTAAACTTGACGGGTTATTTTTCACCAGTCAAAAGCAGATTATGAATAATGAACCATCACATTTGGGTTGTATTTCATTGTTGCATGTTATTTCTGGATGACGACACATGAAACACAAGACTGAAATGATACCTGCTGTTGGATCCCCGGGGTTAAATCAGGCCAAGGAAGGTGTCTGCTTAAAGGAACACATCTGCACCATCTGCTGGTGGAAGAGGGAACTGCAACACATCTGTTTCATAACCATAAATACTTTTCTATTTCAAAATGACTGCTGACTGTGCTGGCTCTGTGTTTACTGATCACTATAGTCCTGTTGGAGGCAAATAGCATTTTAAGATGATGGTAATTGCTTTGAGACAGAAAAAATGTCAAGGCCCTGGCTGTGTCACCAGTTTGTGCTGCAGGTGTGGCAAGTCCCTTACTCTCCTGGGTTCCTGATCACATTCATTCAAATCACCTGCTCTCTGCTGCTCACCTGAGAACCATACAGTAATCAACCCTGCAGTATAAAACACCAGCTCTCCGCTCCAGTCCTCACCAAATCGATGAGTCTGCCACTGTGGTATAGTCATGCTTTAGGTTGCTGTTGAATTGCGAATTCAACCCAGACTTTTGCTTGCATACCTTTTTTCCTGGATACTTACCTCGTGTTTTCCTGTGACATAGGATCACAGCCTCCCTGCCCGCCTGTTTGTTCCTCTGCCACACTCCCAGCCAGCCAAACCCCTCCAACCTAGTCTGCTTCCCGTGCCATCAACCCACTCTCATCAGCCTCAAAAAACCCCTCGATTTCTCCCTACTGCCACATTCATTACCCTGGCAATAAAACCCTCTTTTTTTACCACTTTCTTCCTGAGTTTGTGTTCTGCATTTGGGTTCACCTTGTTGATTGTAACAACAAATGCATTTAGGATTCTTATAAATATCTTTAAGGGCATGTTGTCCAAATGTATGTGGTAAAATTGACCAATATTTGCCTT